GTCAATAGTGTTTCCGCCCGGTTTCGAACCGGGGACCTTTCGCGTGTTAGGCGAACGTGATAACCACTACACTACGGAAACCTGCCCACAGCGATGTGTAAACAAGGTTACGTTAATGCAACCCTGATCAGGTCACAGATAACGGTCTACGGCCCATCTTATCTGTGTCTGTGTGCGACGAGGACGCTACACAGTTTCCGTAGTGTAGTGGTTATCACGTTCGCCTCACACGCGAAAGGTCCCCGGTTCGAAACCGGGCGGAAACAACAGTTTTATTTCCCGTGCTGTTATAATCGATAATGACATCATTTCTACAGTCATATAATTTCTGCCTTTCCTTCTCCAGGCGTTCACTCTGCACTCTTTACATCGTATTGGTCTTCTTCAGTCACCACCTCCTCCTGGTCTGAGCAACCTTTCTCTTCATGATCTCTCCTTATTGAATTATTTGTAGATAAGGGTAAAAAGGTAGACGATAAGAATTTACATTTAATCACAAACATACATTCAGTGACAGAAAGCTAGTTCCGCATCACTGATGACAAACAGTTATTAAGAAGGAAAAACAAAAAAGTCCCCACAGAGGGAATCTGCTTAACAGCTGAGGTATCACTGTAAAGGAACAGGACACAGCCCGCGACGCGACGCCGAGGAGATAAAACCGGTTTGTAAATGTCCGCCTGAGTGTGAATATGAAACACTTTAAACACACAGGGTGTATGTTACTGTTGGGCCGTACAACAACGAACTTATAGCAACATTCCCGGATGGTCTACAGGATGCTTTGCTTGAGTAGAGAGACCGCGAGCAGGCAGCATCCCATATCATTTGGGACAATGTGAGCTTTCACTGAAGTCCAAAAATATGCAACTGGTTTCACAATGAGCAGCATTTCAGTGTGTTTCCTCCCTTTTGAACCCTATCGAGGAGTTTTTCTCAGCATGGAGATGGAAAGTATACGACCGAAACGCTTACACACAGGAAAATCTACTTCAAGCACTGAATGGAGCATGTGGTGAGATGACTGGATTTGGCATCGCGTTGCATTGCAGGGGAGACCATAACATGACGTCCTGTGGCCTGAGCCAGCACAGAAGCTTGATGCTGAGGCAGATTAAATTATCTGAATATGCTGTAAAAATATATAATTTTTTTATGTATATGTAACTTTTTTATTTCAGTTTTTTTGTTAAAATGTCAGTACAAGAATAAATGAATGAATAGATGAATATTATTTTCCTGCTATCTCACAGTGTTTTGTATTTATTTCTGTAGTGTGTAATCATTGCTAAGTTGTGTTTGCACATTGGCTGGTTTTGTGTGTTTTTGACAGCAGTGCTTCATTTTGAGTAAAGTTAAAATAGTTTTGGGTCAAATCTTTGGTTTTGCAAGACAAGTTGAAGGTTTTGTGTGTGTAGCTTGAATTTTACAGTTTGTGTTTAGTGTTTTGAGACAAAGAGATACAATTTTAGGAAATGTGTTTTAGCAATTCAGGAAAACTGTAATAGACTCCGTGCACCTTAATTATGCTGCTTCCTGTGGGGCTTCGTTTCCGGTGTGATATTCGCTCCTTGTTTTCGGTCGGGTTTTCCAAAACAAGTCAACCAAATGGACGAATCAACCGGTGATTTACATTTCTCAAGATGTGTTGGGAATTTATTGAATATATCTGTAGATGATAAGTGTAACCACGGTAATGTCTGACCCCACTTCCGCCAATACCTTTATTGTGGCGGGAATGAACCCTGTATAAGTTCCGGGTCAATCAACTGTTCCCTGCTGGCATTTGTATCATCTTAAGAAGGAGGTGGCAGAGAGTGGGTTGTATAGGGGTAATAGGAGAGATGAGGTGGTCATTACCAGGCTTAGACTGGGACATTGTGCATTAAATAAAACACTACAGATGATAGGAGGACATGAGACGGAGCTTTGTGGAGTGTGTCAGGAGGAGGTGGAGACAGTAGAGCATGTACTACTGCGGTGCAAGGGTTATGATGTGGAGAGGA